TAAGGAAAAATCAATAGAGGTGTTCATAAAAGAATGGCCCATTAAAAAATAGCCCAACTTGAATGACATGGCTACTACTTACAACCAGGGTTCGCCAGGAATTTTTATAGATTAGGCCCAGTAGAAAAAAACCATCTTAATACTCAATTAATAGGTTTTTATTTTGTCATTTTGAACCGGGCTGAGGGGATAGAACGCCCACCTCACAGTGAAGTGACCCAGGATCGAATCCCAGAGTTGGAAGATCGATATGAACTCTGCTTCCATCTCGCCCAGATTACAATGTAAATATATTCAGTGGCATACGGATCATCGGTTAGAATCCATTTAACGTCAGGCTAACCGTGGGAGGTTCCCGTGATTTTACGCAAATGTGGGTCAGTTCTATCAAAAAACCTGCCAAGAATACTAGTTTGTCCCAATGCTTGATCTGGGAGTTCCTTGTCTTCCGGATTAGGTACAAAACTACGGAGTTGAACTTTGATAATCGTAACCTTACAATTGGGTCGGCTGTTCAAAGCCGGATAAAAAATATATAAAAAAATAGATATTATAATTTCTAAAAATTTGTTTTTCGCAATTATCCAACCAAATTGTACTTTGGAATTATTAACTTATTGTTTTATAATTGTAACTAAGTCACTTTTTATAAAAGAATTATATGAAGCAAAGCATATTTCAGCTATCTGATTTTGCGCAAACAAGATTTAATACAAATGAAGTAAATAAGTGCACACGTTTAAAAAAAACATATTGCTAAATTATAATACATTACTTTTAAAACAAATTATGTGCAATGTGCATACACATGACACTGATTGCATAGTTTATTCGAATTGTAAACCCCTACAGGTTTCGTTCTATGTATCCAGCGAAAAAAATGTCAAAATGAATACGATATTTTTAGACAAAGCGTGCGGAAATAAATTTTCAGTTAAAAAAAAAAAACCCGTTTGTAATGAGCATTTTAAAAGATTAGACCAAAATATCCCCATTTTATTTTAAGATTTCTATTATAGACTGTGCCTGTTTCCCTCTACTGTACCTTTTTCAAAAAAAAAAAAAAATCTATGTTTAAAGATAAAGTTTAGAATAGTGAACCCATAATTTGGCAGAAAACCATAATTTAGGATATCAGTTGAAAGCCATAACATCTAATTACTCAACTATTCACTGATATCTTATGACTAGAAAGAATATTTTCTAACTTTTGATTATTTCAGTTCAAACTGGGAAATCGTTTAGGGGGTTGAAGAGAAGAAAAACTTTCTGTTTTGTTAAAATATTTCAATAATAGTAAAAAAAAAAAAAAAAGAAAGAGAGAGAAATAGACTTAAAAAAAGAGAGAGAGAGATATAAATAGAAATGTTGATATTTTAAAGTTTTAGTTTAATGAAATCATCTATGTACTTGACTGATTAGGTTTATATTTTAAATTTTAAAGAGTACCAAAAATATATTCTATTGAATATTTATTAATCTTTTTTTTTTTTTTTGCTAACATTTTATTTAGCAAAAATATTGTCAATTGATAAAGAAAGATTAAATTATACAGCTCATTTATTATATACTATATATATATATTATATTATATATTATTTATTAACACTAGAAAGACGGAAACTTAGTATATATACCTATATTGCCCTAAAGCAGTCAAAATGACTGGATTGTGAATGCGTAAAGAGAAATTTGTTTAAAATTAATTTTTAATATTTTTTATATTATTTACAGTTATATAACAAGTTATTAGTAAATATTAACACTAAATAAATTGTATGTTGTACAAAAAGTCACAAAATTCTAAGAAATTGTGTCATTATATACATCGTTGTTTTTCTAATTGAAATTAAAAAACACTCAAAATGTCGTCCTTGGGCTTATCTAGCATTAATAAAAGCGAAAGCACAGTGTAGATATTGGTTGATGATATGTTCATGCGTACGTGATTATTAAATTAATTTAATGAACATTAAAATTTTAAATTACATGCTTAGGAAACAAATGTTTATCATTTTTTACATTCATTTCAAAAGCAAAAAATAATAAAAATAAGAGGATGTTTTGTACATTGTAAACCATAATAAAATATTCATACAATGAAAAATACAAATGAACTAAAGATATGTGCGTTTCATTTCATGAATTTATTCAATGCTTCTGCTTGCATTATTATTAAACTTTAAAGCAAATTATGTGGTTAAATATAATATAATTCTAGTCACATACCATATTATTCTTTACATTTTACAAAGAATCAATTTCATCCTTAAGCAATTCAAGTATTAAAATTCAATTAAGCATTTAAAAGGCTGAAAAATGACTAAAAGTTATCCTCATAACCAGTTTCTTTTTTTATTAATTCCTTTCATAATAGTCAAGCTATATTTTTTAGCATCTTATTTTTGTATTTAGTATATATACGCACGCATGTGGAATATATTTGGAAAAAAAAGTTTAATTCTCCCCACGTTTATTTATATAGTGTGGATACATCAGATTTTTTAATCAAAGTGTGTAAAGAATCAGACTTCAAATCGAATAACTAATAATACACATATCGAACATGCGTTAGAAAAGATAAGTTAAGAAAACTTTTAATTTGATATATTATTTGTTGAAAACAGTTCAAATTAAACTGTTATAAAACACCGTTGAAACTGGGACATTTCTTTTATGAACATCCTGTAAATTGTCGTAAAAAAGAAACAAACCTACGCAAAAATTAAAAACAAATTTTTTTACCTGAAATCAAAAATATTGCTGATCCATACCTGCCAACTCTTCCGGATTTTCCGGAAGATTTTATTTTCATATTTAAAGTGGTAGTAATTATATACTATTTCTTCTTTTAAAAACTTAATTTTTTAAATGATTTTGATCACCACTATTCTTACAAAAATTAAGCACATATATTAATATTGATTACTATCATGGTTGTCAACCTAAGTTTTCTCAAATACAACGTATTTGTTTGCTTAAAATTGAAGTTTTAATTCCATTTTAATACCACTGGGAAAAATGATAATGGAAGGGATTAAAAGTTGGCAGGTATGCTGATCTTCCGATACAGCTACTTAAAAAAAAAAGAATACTAAGACTAATACAGTCAAACCCCGCTACAGTGAACATTCAAGGCACCGAAATTTCGGTTCACTATAACCGGGACTTCACTATAACTGTACTGTAAACAATTTTAACAAATTTTTCTGAACTGCTCCCTTTTATGACACGTCATTCAAATAAATGACCCATAAAAAGAAATACAAAAATGATTCGCGATCGCAACGCTCGAGTACGCCGTCTAGCGGGAGCCTGTAAATATCGGACATTAATTTATCACGTTTTCATTTAGTTCCATCAAAGTCATTGACTGAATCAGACGCCATTTTTTAGCAGCAAATAAGAAACAAAATTTCCCTAAGGAAAAGGCCGAAGAACTTGAAAAAAATCTCCAGAACATATAAGCATCTAACTAAGTCAAAGTAATTATTTCAAACAGAAAAAATAAAACCAGGTAAATAAATACAAGTGGGAGAAAAAGAAGTATTTCAAAACAGTCGTTAAGTAAGGAGAAGAGTTTTGGGACGCATTCTTAAAGACAATGCAAACACAAATCACGCAACCTTCGCTCTCGGAAAACTTATTCTGAAGAAAGTTAATTCTTCATTCAGAGCTGCTCCATCTGGCTCGAGACCATTTTCCTCAAATGTCAGAAATAATACGTAGAAACCACTACCGAAATTTCTTCGAAAAAGATCAGAGAGAAAGGTTTTGTCTTTAACAGATTGCAAAATTTCATGCTGAACTTTAAAAACAACTGAATAATTAAGCACACCCTTAAAAGGTCAAACAAAGAGCTTAAGGGATGCTCCATGTTATACCATTTTTACCCTTTGAACTTTACCCATAATAAAGAGAGCTTATTAAAATTGTTTAAGTTCAAAATAATGTTCCATATAATTTTTGTATTATTCCTGTTGCGATAATATTTTTGCTCTCATCATGCTATAAAAAAAAATTCTTAACAAAAACAATGATATGAGAAAAAAAAAAATTCTCATCAGGGATCACGTGAGACAACTATCGCAAATTTGATAAGTTCGTCGATGAAAAACAATCATTTTTTAAGAGAAATTTTTTTTTTTTAATTTTCATTATTTTTTAAGTAAATAAGAACGTTAATATTAAATAGTACTAATTCTAATTTTGGATGAATGGACTAAAAAAAAAATTCTTGATTCTTGTTTCGACATAGATTTCTCTTATGCTAACCTAATTGAAAAAAAAAAAAAAAAAAAAAAAGCTTTATGTATGTAAGTACTTTGCTTAAGAGCTGCACAATGGGCTATTGGCGACGTCTGGAAAACATCCCTGCGGAAATCCAAAGAAATGTCATGGCAATTTTGATCCTTGGCAGAGGGGATGGCTCCCCGGCTTCGGTAGCCAGACGACCTGCGTGCGAAGTCGAGCACTTTACGGTAGAACTGTGTAACGAGGACCGATACCGCGCACCCTCGGTTCCTATACAGGCTGATCAAAGTGGTCACCCTCCCCCCGCTTACTGACTGCAACCAGTGATGCCTGACTTCGGTGTTCTACTGGGAAACACGTCTTTATGATCAATCCACTTAGCGGGTATGTAATATATTAGCATGTATGTAAATAATTTTCTTATAAATATTTATGGTTATGGTCACGCATTCCTGAGTTAGAAAAAATAAGTTAATAAACTTGCCTAAAATGCAAATAAACGAATAACACGAAAGACCCATCTCCAGTCAAAAAAAAGTTAGTTTTACACTTGTAATTTTAAAATTTATTATCATTTCATATGTCAAAAAAGTATCATTTGTTTCTGGAAACATGTTGGTATAGGAAACACCATTTTTTTTTTATCACGCCAAGCCAGCCAAGATAGATTCTTTTTTTTTTTTCTCCGAGACAAAATTTTTCTTCCCCCTCTTTTTAAACAGGTAGAAATTAAAGAGAAGACTTACCTATGCGGAAACCCAACCCCCGGGAACAGTTCCAAACCACAACAAACGAAGAAAAAAAAAAGAAGAAAAAAAAATGCAGATGCGTAATCCAATTATAGGAACGAATTTGCTGAGTACTTCATTTCATTTCATTTCTGTGGCCTCTTAGGCATGGTAGTAAATAAAAAGACAGAAAAGGAACCTCGATGAAGCGAAGGGAAATACGACACGGAGTAAGCAAGACGGTAAAAATGGAATCTGTGATGAATACCTGAATTGAAAAAAGAAAAAGGTATATCGTCGTTAAAAGAAAAACAATGGAAAACGTAACCTTGGGAAAAAAGCTCTTTGCAATCGTTGCACGCAGAAGATAAGGAAAATTGATCATTATTTGTTTCTACGGTCTTTCGAAGCCACCTATAATAATCTGTAATTAAACAAAACAAAAAATAAAAGGGTACTACTCTATTAAAGTGCTACAGTTTGATACGAGAGACCCATTGTTTTCAGCGAGGCTGGTGCGGAGAATAAAGGAAAATGACTAGTCAGATAAATCAATTCCACTTTCTGAATTTTTTTAAAATTTAAAAAGTTAAAGCACTTGATAGTACTATAAGTCTATGCAAAGTCAGTATTTTAATAACCTGTTTTTTTCTTTTCTTTTTAACTAAAAAACAAAAATCTAAATATTTTTGAGAACAAAAAACAATTTTTCTAATCATAACCAGCCGACCAGCAGGTTCTTAAAATCCACTTTTTAAACATAAATAACATAATTGAATACTAGTGGGTTCCGCCTCTGCTCCCTGACGCTTCCTAACCCGAAAGACTGCTATGCAATCTTACATAAATTGCAAAGCTAACCATGTTCGCTACTAAGTTAAGCCCTTTTAAAATGTGTTCTAGAATCGTAATTTAAATTGTAAAATCGTAAGAACTTAAAGCAATTCTTAAAATTAATTTCTCTATAAAAAATTAAAAATTCTCTTTCAATTAAATTAGTAATTTAAAGCATAGAAAAAATGAGTTTAGATAAACCAAGAGTTAAATATAAAGCTTCAATTTCTGATATATATATATATATATATGCAAAATAATTCTCAGATTTTACATGATCATGATAAAAGAATTAGTTTCTGACAAAGAACTTTTTTCTTGATTATATTAGCCACCATAAAAAGATCTAGAGATTTTTTGGTTTGATTTTTAGAGGGTGGAAAATGAAGCCTGAAATGGAGAATACATCTTTATTTTCAATACGAATAGAATAAAAGAAATATTGGTTGCACACACAATTTTTTCATTACACATACAGTTTTTGATTAATTAAATGTTAAACACAGATTTTTAGCTAGTTTCCGCTATCTTTGTTATTTAAAATAACACACAAACACAATGGGGAGAAAAAAAATCGTCACTAAAGACATCACATTGTTATTTAAATTGTTAAAGTCATTGCTTCCGTCGTTTTTAGCAACTTCAAAAAGAATAATATTTCTATCTATATCATAAAAAGATAATTGTTTCGCGCATTCTCATTGGACAGAAAAATCACATGATACTTGATGAAATCGCATGATGATGAATGTGATACAAATAAAAACAATCCAGATATCTATAGGTGTCCTTTGTGTGTTATTACCCTAAAATTAATAAAAGCTGATACGGTGCTTGTCTATAAATTATCCATTTTCTACACATTATACCATTACAATTTATCGACAATTCTTAATATTATTCATTGTCATTATCTTAGAAAGGGACAACATTTAAGAGTGATATTTAGCTACTGTCTTAAAATTATTAATCACAAATTTACATTTATAATAAATTTTATACAAAACTGCGTCCAGTATGCGCATGAGATTTAAATAATGAATAAACAACAAATATTTAAAATTCTAAAGCAACATTAAGAATTCATTCTTTGCACCATTGCTAAAATAATTTTTACGAAAAATATTTGACAAAATTAAAAAAGAATTTCGACGCCCGGTGGCTGAGCGGTAGCGCTTCGCGCTGTCGTGCCACAGGTCCCTGGTTCGATCTTCGGGCCGGGCAAGGTTGACTCAGCCTTTCATCCCTTCAGTGGGTTGATAAATGAGTACCAAGCATGCTTGGGAACTAAACACTGGGGGTTCCGCGTTCGGCTGACCACCTGACCGGAACATCTGCTCCTGCACCCCAGAGCCCAAGGTCAAGAAAACTGAGCTGGGCACAGTAGGCCATGGCCCTCTATGGGCTGTCGCGCCACTGAGTTTAGTTTTAAAAAAGAATTTCAAAAACAATTTTGTGAACGAAGTCGCATTGATAGTGGAACAAAATTAGTCCATTTTGTCTCCGCAGATCGTGTAAAAACAATAAAGCTTTATAGTATTACATGATAATTAAGATTTTACATAGAATATTTAATGCGTCTAATAATTTGGCAAGGGATGCTAGAATAATAGATCTAAAGAGATACTGGGATATCATTCTAAACACTATTGAAATATATTGCCAAAATAGTGGGATCGTTTAATTGAAATCTTGGGGTTTATGGGTGAAGCAAGTAGGGGGAAGCCACGTAGCCAGACATTAAAAGTCCCATTGTTTGAGATGTATTTTAAACTGATATCGATGGGACGATCCTCATTTTAATTTAACTAGTCAGGAAATATTTAAGCCAACGTTTAATTAAAATATTTCTGACCAATCACGATGTCACGTATATATTTAAATAGAGTATTGATTGAAAAGAGGACTTCTCTGCAGAGAACACATGCTAAGTGAAGTATGAAATCTGAAAGAATCAGAGTTAGAAATTCTCTATAAAAAGTGCTGATGGGAAAAAGAAGACTCATTTAAGTTTTTAAAGATTTTCTTTTTAGATTTTTAAAGATTTTTTTTTTTTTTTTTTGCCAGTGCTAAACAGGGGTAAATGTGAGTCCTACTCTAAAATCCTGAAAATTTCTCGCATTAATGACGCAATTCAAAAAAATTAATGTCTTCATAAATTTAAATCATTGATATTTTCAAAACACGAAATTCTAAATAAATTACATGCAGCATAATTTAAATGAATAATTATGCATAAGTTTACTTTTTATCTCTAATCACATTTTATTATTCTACCAGAAAAAAATATTTACAAATGAAAGAGATGCCAAGTATAAATTCTAGGTCTAATATTTCTGAATAAAACATAAAAAATAAAAAAAATTTAGGCATAAATGTGATGAATGATTTCTTGAAATTTCTGGACCTTGGATTTCCGGAAACTTCCGGATTGAGTTTAGCGCAATGTCTATAGTAATATACTAATGTTAGTACGTATAATTATCGCTCGAATTAAAGAATTTAACATTTCAAATGAATTACCTAAAGCATTATTTATTTATCTATAATTTAAAGTGATAATCAACCTAAAAACAAACTTTTTTTATCACTGATACTAATAATCTAAATTTTCGTTTTTCAACTAGACATATACAAGATGCCACATGAACTAAATTTAATACTGAAAACTTATAGCGATTATACAATATTTAATCTATTTTATTTTATTTTAGAACCGTCGTTGAACAGCCGACCTAATTTTGAGTTTATGACCACTAATGTTCAACTCCGTAGTTTTGCAATTTTGAACCAATTCAAAAGGAAAAAAAAACTGCTGGATCAGTTTCCTCTAGAGGTATGATTTGTTATGGGAACATGGAAAATTTTGTGACTCGACAGATTTAACGTGTAATCAGTCACTACACGGTCACAGTCATTTACTTCACGGGGAGTCTTCGGCTGGCAGGGATCGAACCCACGACCTCTTGGACATAGGACCAGTGTCCTACCAACCAGGCTATCCCGGTTCAATATTTAATCTATTGTAATTAAACCTGCCTCGTAAACTAAAATTTGCTGTTTTAATTTAAATGTTCGTCACAAATAAAATTAAAAAAAAAAAACTTTACAGCGCTGGCATAAAAATAATAATCTTGACAAAATCAATCCAAATGTAATTTCTTTTCAAAAGTAAAATACTTTGCTGATATCATAAACATGATAGTAATCCAGGAACAAAATCTATGAAGAAACAATCAGTAAGAAAACAAGCTAAGCTAATTTATAGACTAAACAACTCAGAGAGAAAAGAAAATAATCTTTCTCTTTAAAGACTAACAATTAAAACTGAAAAAAAGAAAAATCTGCCTTGGTTGCAGACTGAAAAGCTGTTTACAAAAACGATCTTTTCAATAAAAAAAATAAAAAAAACCGTAGTTTGACACTAAAGAACTAAGTAACATTTAAATTTACAGTTGAACATGCCACGCTCTTAAATAGTGATTTAATATACATATTTACCAATAAAATTCATAATCCAAATGTAGTTTCTAATTCATTCAGTTCTCAAAGTATGTTTGTAGTACTGTATTGTAAAAGAAAATGAGTTTCCCAGAGAACAATTTGGAGTTGTGAAAACTGATAAGGGAAATCAATGGAAGAAGGAAACAATAGAATGTTCTTATTGAGGGGTTGTGATAAGATTCATAAAACAGAACAATGAATGAATTCGCACACCACATAAATATATTTTTGATGTAGCATATTTAAAACAACTATGTTGACTGAACTTTATAGGAATAACCTTTTAGAAGAAAGGGTTGAACCCGTTTTTATTTTTTCTTTCTCCATCAAATAAATAGTTTTGATATTTATTTTGAAAAATAAAAACCCTTTTATCCATCAAGTTTTGAAGAAATAAAACACTTTAATTAGTTTTTTTCCCCTTTATAGAACCTGTGTAGGTTGAGCTTTTTTATTTTGGAAAAAAACTTGTTTTTTTACCAATTTTGACTTAAATGCTAAGTTAATCAAGAGCAGTTATGAGATATTCATTTTAGTGAATTGGAAGAAAAAAAAGGATAGTCAATAATTGATACGCTAAGCATCATAAATTGAAAATAAAAAAAGCTTGAAATTAAAAAATAAATGAAAAAATTTAAAAAAAAAAAGCTTCATCATTTTTTTTTCCTTTAAAGAAAATGAAACTTTGATAAAACCCGTGCAGGATAAGCTTCTTGTTCGGAAAATTAAACATTTTTTTTTTTTAAATTTTAATACTACTAAATAAATAAAAAAAAAAGAAGCTTTTGGGACTAAATTTAATTATAACTTATTATTTACACCCCTCTCATTCTAACGGGCCTGACAGTAATTGATACGTTAGGTATCCTACATTAAAAATTAAAAAAAAAAAAAAAAAAAAAAAAAAAAAAAAAAAAAAAAAAAAAAAAAAAATTAGATAAAAATCATTTAATAGAATGAACAGCATACAGAGATCTAATAAAGCAAGTTCTAATCATCTAATAAATCTAATAAAGCAAGTTCATCCATTCAGAAAGTTCAGCGTAAAAGAATTTTTGGTCGATTATAATTATCCTTATGAAATCATACGATTCTAATTGAAATCAATAACCTTCTGGTTTTTGCAGTTCATATTACAGATTCACGGATATTAAGTTTTCCATTTGCCGATAGTTTCCAGCTGTTAGTATTAGCTGTCTCTTTCTATTTTGTCCGGAAACTAGATCACCCAAGGCATCATCCAAAAATAAAACGCCCATTTGTTTTTGAAATAAAAAATAATTTTTTTTTATTAAATTTAATACATTTGTAAATAAAATAGCAATTGGTAGTTCTTCTGTTAAAATAATATATGTTCTTCAAGGACTCGATAAGGGAAACTTAACGAGAGAAAACATCACGCTAAAAGGTACAAAAATTTAAGTTTCTCACGTTTTTAAAGAAATTGTGTAAAACCTGAAGTTTTCGCTAAAAAAAAAAAATCTAACAATGTTTCTGTTAATTAGGTAATTGTTTACCCCAAAGGTGCCATTTTGTTAAAATAAACTAAATATATAACATTTTATATTTCAAATCTTTTCAATTACTTAAAACA